GGCGCAACTTCAAAAGAATTTGATGCATTTGGCTGCAATCGCTGATTCCCAACCGCAGACACCAGCAATGCCTCCCCAGGTATATTGACGCCAGCCAGTTACAGTTTACTAATAATTTTGCAGACGTCTTATTCATGTGTTGGCACATACAGATGTCTCCACATCCAGCAATGCAACAAGGAGGGTTTTATGCGCAGCATCCTCGAGCCGCAACCATAGCTCAGCAGCCAGGTATCTTCCTCCCAAGAGCACCCTTAAAGTTCAACAATCCACATCCAATTCAAGATCAACAGCAGCTTCTAACCCAACAAGCCATGCAAGCGCAAATGGTTTTACGGCCTCGTGGTGCCAGCAATGGTGCACAACCCACACACAATGACAGCACTCTCGGAGGAGGCAGCAACGGTATTCCCACTTCAAATGATGTGCAAGGAGTAAACCAAGATAAACCCGAGTGTCAGGCCTCTGGTGCTAATGCTGGCGGAGATGGAGATGAAGCAAAATAATGACCTCGTGAAAATTGTGAACTGGTTGTTTATAGAAGATTTAATGTTGTGGAGCAAGTGTCTTCTGGCCTTTATATAGTTCAACTAGGAACCGAGGATCCGCGTCACCTCTTATAGGAGGCGTATGGGTAGGGTGGTTGTAACGAGTTTCAACTTGTCTTACTTCTTAGTTAAGCCTCCAGTATGGAGAAAGCATTTGTCTCAGCTTTGATGCTTATTGTTCTATAATAATGTAAGTTCGATTCCATAAAATTTGTGTCTGATTTAATCATCAATATCGACAATTTTGATCATGTGGGATTCGGAAGCAAAGACTTGATTATATTGAAGACCCAAAACCTCATTTTTGAAGGTCAAAGATTTGTAATCGTACCACTTAAAAGGTTGACGAATTTATTGGATTAATAAATCAGCTTTTTACAATCTCTAAAAGAACAAACACGGTGTTGACACACAAAAGTTCAGCCCAAATCGAATAACCCAAGGAATGAAGCCCAATTGGAAGATTCTCAAATTAGATAGCCCAAAGAACGGCCCAATCGGGCAATGCAAGATAAAGGCCCAAATAGGGAAATCCATGGACGCGGTAATACCATCGTCCAAGGTTACGAGTCGCCCAAGATTTGAGCGAATGAATTGCCATGCAGTCGTCCAGAATTGTGACCTTGTTCTCGCCCAAACTTTCGAGTCGCC